TCCCTTTAAAAATCAATTTTAAAAAGCTTTAAAAAAAAAAAGACTTACTCTCTAACCGGGACAATCAGGCCGTGGCATGTGGTGGGAGGCAGGCCCACAGATCCATGGAACAGAGGAGAGCCCAGAGACAGACCCACACAGATGTGCTTGGCTGACTTCTGCCAAAGATGCACAAACAATTCAGTGAGGAAAGATAATCTTTCCCACATTTGCTCCTGGAGCAATTAGAGCTAACCCCAACTAAACTGCACACAAACAGAAATCAACTCAAAATGGGTCAAAATCAATCATACTTAGTATAATCAGGAACTATAAAACTTTTGTAAGAAAACACAGGAGAATATGCACGACCAATGGACACAGACCATATTTTGGGGAAAGCAGAGGGCATGGGAGTGGGGAAGAGGGAGTTAATGGGGGAAAAAGGGGGGGACATCTGTAATACTTTTGACAAAGATAAATACACACACACACATTAAATCCCCCCCTCACCCCCCACCAAAAAAAGAAAACACAGGAGAAACTTTTTTGGGACTCAGGGCTAAAGAGAATTGTTTATATGTGATATAAAAAGCACAGTCCATAAAAGGTAAAAAACAGATAAACTGGACTTCACTCCAACTAGAAACTTGCTCTGTGGAAGACCCTGTTCCAGGATTAAAAACACGCTACAGACTAAGAGAAACTAGACAGCCAACCAGAGAGCCCACAAAAGGCTGGGGTCTGGAGCATACAAAGAACTCTCAGAACACAGTAAGCAGCACCATCCAATCAGAAAGCAGGCAGGGAGGGCGCGCAGACTGAGACCTGTGCAGGGGAGCAAGCACGTGCAATGTCTCACTGGCTGCTAGGAAATGAAAATTAACACCCCAAGGAGATGTGGCTGTATACCCCCAGAGCCGACACAATAAGGAAAAGCTTGAGAAGGTTCGGAGAACCATCCCAGACATGGGGAGGGAACGTGAGAAGACACTCATTTGAAGAGTTTGGCAGTTTCTTATGAAAACTAACATACAACCCAGCAACTGCACCTGGGCATCCACCCAGGAAAAAACTGTCCATGTAAAAACCTGCACAGCCCTGGCCAGGTGACTCAGCTGGGTGGAGTGTCACCCAGTACAAAAAAGGCTGCGGCTTTGATTCCCAGCACATACATAAGTTGTGGGACTGCTCAGGCGGCCCTCAGAGGCATCACGCTAAGTGAGAAAGCCAGTCTCAGGGCCGCAGACTGAAGGAGTCCACCGCACAGTTAGAGGGGGCCAATGAGCACGAAGGGGCCTGGGGCAGGCTGTAGAGGGCAGCACAGGGGTTCCCTGCAGTGACGAGCAGTCATGAGCAGACACACAAATGTAAACACGGGCAACACTGCAATCACACGCGGGAAAAACTGGTGACATCAAATAGCGTGTGGGGTAGTTCATAAATGTTTCCAATGCCAACTTCCTGGCGTTGGTATTACTGTGCTAGCCATATGTGAGTGTGAGGCCCACAAAATGCAAATGTATTTAAAAACTATCTATTCCATTACACATTAGCTAGAAGATGTTAACATTTACTTGCAAAGACTAATGTGATGACCAAGCAGTAAACTAATTTATGAAACAATCACACTGAATATTTTAAAATTTAAATTATCTCCGCAGTATATTTTTTGACAATGGTGAATCAGGACTCACATTTTTTTTTTTATCCTCACCTGAGGACATTTTTCCAATTTTTGTACAGATAGAGAGGGAGGGAGGGAGGGAGGGAGGGAGGGAGGCAGGGAGGGAGGGAGGGAGAGGGAGAGGGAGGGAGAGAGAGAGAGAGAGAGAGAGAGAAACATCGACGTGAAGGGACACATCGAGTGGCTGCCACCCGCACTACCAACCAGGGCTGAGGACAAACTGCAACCGAAGTACGTGCCCTTAGCGGAAACCGAACCCGGGTCTCTCCGGACCGCAGGCCAACGCTCTAACCGCTGAGCCAAACTGGCCAGGGCAGGACTCACATTTAATTCAAGTCTGTTTGGTGTGTTAACTCTTCTAGAAGGATGATATTCTAACTCTATCCAAGTTCAGTCAAGTTCTTGACAGCGTCAACCTAATTTTAACTAACCGCGGTGCATGGGGGAGCCGAATCAGAAGTGGTGTCGGAGCACAGTCATAAAGTATCCGCCGTGCAGTGGTGAGGAGACACACCAAGATGCCAGTGAGTCCATGTATAAAACACGTAACAAGTCACACACACGTGAACCTGAAACCTGATTCCAGTGTGAGCTCTCAATACATATTTGTTGGAGCTGAATGAAAAAGGAAAGTTTATTTGGTCCCAGAAATGGGAAACTGTTCAATCTCACTAGTTAGTACTGAGCTGGGGGAAAAGGGTCCCTAACAAGTTGTCTCCCCCCCCCCCCAATAAACAATAAATAATGCCCAATGCTGGCAAGGATGTGGTGAGACTGAGCACTCACAAAGACCTTTTGGAAAGTTATGTGACCACGTGAAGCAAGAGACGGACCTTCAGCCCACACCTTGCAGGACCAGAGATCTGAAGGGGGCTCTGTGGAGAGGTGGCAGCATCCCCACACACACAGGTAGGGACACAGGTCTGTGCACCCACCCTGTCCCGCTGCACAGTGAGTGGGCCCCTGGCAGTCCTCCCGGCCACCTGCACCCGTTTTCGTATCTATCTGTTTGGATGCATTAAATTCAGAGTGTGGCAAGGTGGGTCACAGAGCCGGGGAAAGCCACCAACACCCACAACAGTTAGCAGCTGACATGCAGGTGGGATGCAAGCGAAGCCCCTGGAGAAGGCCCTGCAGTCTGACCTGCACCCTCCCCTGGCGGGTCTCTAAACGCTGTAGCGCGGGGCGTACAGAAAGACTGTGATTTCGGGCAATAAAGACAGAGGCCTTCGACGTGGCTCAGTGGCTGAGCGTCGACGATGCCCCAGGAGATCCCCGGTTCGATTCCCGGTGGGGCACAGGCTCCACCCCCAGGAGGAGGCGTGCAGGAGGCAGCCGATAGATCATCGATGTTTCTCTCTCCCTCTCCCTTCCTCTCTGAAATCAATCAAAAGTAAACAAAAAGTGTTTTTTTAAAGACATACATTTTTCAAAGAAAACCCCACCTACCTCTGCACTCCGCAGGTGACACCTACCTTATCTCAAAACTCAATAAAACTCACTCTTTCCTCTCACCTCTCAGGGGCACCTACGTGCCCCCGCCCCGTCCACCCGCCGACGAGCTCGGAGGAGGAAGCGCAGAGCCGCCCGCGGGCCCGCCTCCAGGTGCCACAGGGCGCTGCACCCCGACCCGCGCCCCGGCGACGGGAGCAAAGGTGACCACAGCGCCAGGGGTGCCGGAAACGCGTCGGCAAGGCCGCGGTGGGGTGATGCCCGGCGGGGACACGTGAGCCGGCGCCCGGAGTCGCGCCCACTCAGGAACCGCCCGGACGCCGGACCCGTCAGCGGCCCGCCCAGCGCACTCGGGGAGGCCGCCCGCGGGGTCCGGCCGCGGCCCCGCTCCGGGTGCGGTCGCCCTCGGGCGCGCCCACGTCCCGCGGCGGGCAGCGGCCAGCGCCTCCCGACGCCCGCATCCCCGGCCCGGCGACCCCAGGGGCGCGGGGCGGCCGAGGGGCAGCGCGCACTCACCGGTCGCTGCCGCGGGCGCCTGCGGGGCCGTCCCCTCGCCAGGCTCCGCCCGCGGACTCCGCCGCCCCGCCGCCGCTCGTCGCCGTCGCTAGCTGGCCCCCGGCGCCGCGGCCGCTCCCCGCCCCATGGCCAACCGGACCGCGGCGCCGGCTCACCCAGCAGCAATGCCGCCGCGCAGCCAGTGCGCACGCACGCCCCGTCCCGCGCATGCGCTCCGCCATATGCACGCGCGCCCCGCCAGCTCGCGCACGCCAGCCCCGCCCCCAAGGGCGCCCCGCCCACACCGCTCGTGGTTCTGGCCTTTGGACTCCATCCCGGCCGCAGGGCCCAGGTGGGGCACTCTGTACCGGGGGGAGCCAGGCTAGTAAGAAGCCAGGAGAATTCTTTGGCAAGTGGAATGGGGATGCAGGTCACCTCCCTAGAGATAACATCTAATCCTACCTTGTGTATCAGCTCCAGGCCCAGAAAAGCAGCAAAACCAGGTCCAGCTGCAATGACGAATGACCCCTCTACTGCCGTGGCACTGACCAATCAGTGAGGATCAGGACCCTGAAAGAGCACACCTGGAAAATTAATGACTCTTCTGCTAAAACCCTTCCCTGAGACCTTCCCCAAGATTCCCACCTGCAAGGGAGAAATAAATACCCTCAAGGCAAAGGACACAGCATGCACTCTCCCTCTGGGGAGTATGCCGGTGCCTTCCCCCCAAGACATGCATCTCCTAAACTCTAAGGGTCCCCAGGAGACTTGCAGCCAGGGGAGCAATGGGCCGTGGCAGTTTGTCCAGGCCTAACCCTTGACCCTGTCTTCAAGGCCCGTTTTTCTCTGACTTCCCAGTGAGCTAAGGCAGCCCAGCCTAGGCTCTCCTGTTACTTCTTCAACACTGAGTCCTTCCTTGTTTCACTGTCCCCAGCTTTAATAAACATCCACTCATAATCACCTGGACGCATATTGTGAAGTTTTTTCTGCACGAAATCAGTAACGCACACACTACCAGCTGGCCCTAAGCAGACCTGCTCAGGGCCTGCCCCCATCCCACTCCGTTCCCCTCCACCAAAGCACCACCCGCTGAGAAGTCCATGACTACCAGGTGTGACTCTGCTTAGAAAGAACACGTTTTAGGATTCAAAACTCAGTGTGAGCACCTGCAACAGAACCGCACCCCTCGGCTCTAGGCACAGCTGGAGGGAGCACGCTTCATCCACCACAGGCAGCCTGGTCAGTCCTTGCACATCACAGGACTTCAAGGGCTCTGGGCCTGCCCTCTAAGTGGGGCCCCCAAGAATAACCTGCCAACACTGTTCTCCCCCCACCCGAAGACTGGAGTACCCAAACAGGAGGAAGGGGCCAAGGCCTCAATGCCCACCTTGTAGCTTCTGGTGGAGCTGCTGCCTCCCCGTGGGTTCTCCCAAGGCTTCCTGAATTGAGGGTTACCCACCAGTGCATTCCGGAGTCATATCCCAAATGTGTGCCAGGGTCACTGCAGGAGATGAACCAGGCAATGCACTGCAGGGTACTCCCCAAGTGCCAGCCATTAGTCCTTCTCTACACTGGGGTCTCCCTGACATGGAGCGCCCTCCCCCTCTGCAGCAACCTGGTCCCCGGGTTTCCCCAGCCCCCCCCCATACCAGCTGTTGTCAGTCTTCTCTGATGGGGCCTCCTGGCCCTGTGTCCATCGACCTGGAACACCACTGGTCACAGAAAAGGACATGTCTCACTGCTGCCCTGGGACCACTGAGCAGTGGGTCACCAAGGGTGAGTGGGGAGGGGGTCAAGAATGGGGAAAGTCTGAGGGGATTTCTCAAGTGCTGCAACTTCCCCATCTGGTAGTTTTGTACATCCACCCACTTCCCCGAAGTGACTAGCAGACACACACGCAGGAGATTCCATTTGAGTTGCATTTTTGGAAATGTAATCATTGACATCCTACTACTAATGCTTGGCCTAGCACTTGCTATGGCCAGGCACTGGGCCTCGCTTCCCAAGAACCTTCTAGAGCAGGACAGTCCGTAGGGGCGGCACCAAGGCATGAGTTCGGGCAGGGTCACTCGTCAAGGTGACAGGGCAGGCACCCTTCCTGTGTACTCTTCTTATCTAAAGGGAACTCTTGCAGGTACTGTCCAGAGACATTGGGCAAAAGCGTTTCCTCATTTCAGAGAGGAGCAAACTGCTGCACCCCCTTCAGGAAGCCTGGAGCTCACACCCAGGCCCCAAAGGGCTGACTGGCAAGAAGACAATAACAAGGTCCACACTGGGAGGGGTGCCTTAGGGCATCTGGAATGTTCCCAGAGGTGTCACTTGGGCTGAATCCAAAGGCTGAGTCAGGCTGTGGTGGGGAGGGAGGGGCCAGCAGCTGGGCAGAGGCTGGGGTGGGGGTGGGGATGGAGGACACTCTGGCCAGTTTGGGCTGGGCATAGGATGGGGGTTCTGCCTTACAGGGGCTCAAGGGACTGGAAAGGTGGAAAGTCTTCCTCCTTTCTGGCCAGTGACCTTTCCCTGTAACCCAGCGGTTCTCAACCTGTGGGTCGCGACCCCTTTGGGGGTCGAACGACCCTTTCACAGGGGTCGCCTAAGACCATCGGAAAACACATATTTCCAATGGCGATTCTTAACAGTAGCAAAACTAGTTATGAAGTAGCAACGAAAATAATTTCATGGTTGGGGGTCGCCACCACATGAGGAGCTGTATTAAGGGGTCGCGGCCTTAGGAAGGTTGAGAACCACTCACTGTGCAGCCAGCGCTGCAGGCTATCTTAACATAATTCAGTATTTATTTCTCAGTCTTCTTTTTCTTTTCTTTCTTTCTTCGTTTGTTAATCCTCAACCGGGAATATTTTTTCCCATTGATTTTTAGAGTGGAAGGGAGGGAGGGGTGGAAGAGAAGGAAAGAGAGAAATATCAATGAGAGAGACACATTGATTGGTTGCCTCCCCCAGGGCCCAACAGTTGAACCTGCAACCCAGGTAAGGTACTGGGAACTGAACCGGAGACCCTTCGGTCCTGTGGGCTGACACTCTCACCGCTGAGCCAAACTGGCCAGGGTGGTATTCTTTCTCTTAAACACGCTTTCATATTGTTTAAACGTCCCTTCCCCAAAACCCGGACCCACCCTTTTCCAAGTGTCGAACGATGGCAACAGCCAGGTGGGGGGGTGGCTGGTTCCAGAGGCAGGGAGCCGGCAACATGGAGGTGTGGAGCATGATGGGGCTGCTGCCCGAAGTGGACTCGTGGACAGGCGTGCTGGACTTCTGCGTGCAACCTGGGGAACTCCCTGGCTCTCGAGGGCTGGAAGGGGGTGCCCCAGGCTCCCAGATGCAGGGAGTGGAAGGGCTGCTCCCAGCTCTAGGGAAGTTGGCCTCAGCTGTGCCTGGGGGGTGAACGGGGAAAACCAAGGCTGTCAGCACCCTGCAGGGGAAATGGCCAGGAACCCGGGTTGCAGGGGAGGCAGGGAGGCTCTGTGGGGTGTCTCTGGCTATCCCGAAGTCCTCCTTTAACCCCTCTGGCCTCCAGCCGGCGGACCTAGGACAGGTCCAGCCTCTCCTGCCTGGCCGTACGTACCTAGCCCTCCCCAGGGGCCAATGTCTAAAATAGTCCACTCGACAGTCTCCTGTTTGGGCTGGTTTTAGGGCACGGGGGTGAGGGGACAGCATCTCTTCTGCAGATCAGCTAAGTGCCAGGCACACCATTCAGTCAGGAACAGCTGGGCTGTAACCTCACCAAGGTGCTAGGGAAGGGATGCCCTGCCTGGGGTGGGGAAGGGCACTGAGCAGAGGCAGCCTGGGGTGGGGGTGGGGGACCCCAATGGTCATGGGCCAAGTGCGCCCTGCTCTAGCACCATGTACACACGGGACTCACTGAATTCTCACAAGGCCTCTAGGAAGCAGGTGCTTTTTGTGTTTTTTTTTAGAGACCATATTGCCCTGGCCGGTTTGGCTCAGCGGTTAGAGCATCGGCCTGCAGTCCAGAGAGACCCAGGTTTGGTTCCTGATAAGGGCAGGTACCTCAGTTGCAGTTTGTCCCCGGCCCTGGTTGGGTCGTGCGGGTGGCAACCACTCATGTCCCTTTCACATCGATGTTTCTCTCTCTCTCTCTCTCTCTCTCTCCCCCTCCCACTCTATCTGAACAAAAAAATGGAAAAATGTCCTGGGGTGAGGATAAAAAAAAAAGAGACTGTATTAAGTCAACTTAATTCAGGGAGGGAGGGAGACACACATTGACCTAACCCTAAACCCGACCAGGGCCAGGGATGAAACTGCAACCGAAGTACATGCCCTTGACCAGAATCAAACCCGCAACTCTCTGGAACCCAGGCCAATGCTCTACCACTGAGCCAAACCGGCCAGGGCTTGTCTGCAGTTTTCAAAGTGGGATCCAAGAAGGCAAGCCTCTTGCCCAAAATCAGTGAGGACACGAAGGGGCAGAGTTTGGCCTTGGCTCTGGGAGTGGCTTAGCTGGACCCAAGAATGGGGAGGGAAGGAGAGAGGGAGAGAGAGAGTGTGTGTGTGTGCAGGAAGGGGGGGCCACCCCCCACAGCTGGGCGGCAGGGCAGGGCAGTAAGGCCTCTCCCACCCCACCCACTTGGAGGAGGAGGTTCCCTCCTGCACACTGGTCAGGGGCCGCCTGCCGGGCAGTGGGAGGGCAGGGTGCCCAGGAACGGGCGGGTATTTCAGGCCAGCAGTCCAGGAGCAGCCCCGGCCCTGGCATTCCGGAAAGCAGCGACAGTGTTGAAACTCAGAGATGTATTTCAGGAGCGGCCACCTGGGAAGGGGCCGTGGTGGGGAGATGGGCTGTGTGCGTGCCACCTGGCCTGGCAGCACCTGCAAATCCAGGTGCTCTTCCCGCTGAGGGAGGTCTTCACTTCCTTAGGAGAAAGTGCCACCCTCTGAGCACAAGAATCACAGCTGCCCTTCTCTAACCTAGCCTAGGAGGGGTCCCTTGACTCACAAGGGCTCCTGAAGCCTTTCTCTGACTTTGGGGGCAGATGCTCCCGTCCTCTGGCTGCAGCTCCAGATCCAGATGAATGGAGAGGCCTGGGGCGGGCGGGGGGGGGGGCGCTCCCTGCTCAGAGCTTGGGGGCCTAGGGCTCAGGACACCAGCTGGAGTGCAAGTCAGCCGCCTCAGGACAGCGGGGACAGTCCACATGGCGACAGGTGGACGGGGTGCTGGGCACGTGCTGTTGGAGGAGCCCACCTGAGACCCACCAAAGGGCGGGCTGAGGCACTGCTCACCACCGCTGGTCAGACCCAACCGCGCAGGGAACAGTGTGCCCTCATAAACCCGCCCACCTGGGAATAAGCAGCTACACCCAAGTCCCTCATGTCAAACTGCTTTATTACATCTTAAATAACAGTACAGTTTAATACAGGGCTACCTTGCATCCAGCTTCCTTGCAGCACACTGACTGAAATTAAATACAAAAGGGAAAGGACAGGTGCAGACAGGCTCTAGAGGCGTCGAGAGGGGGGGTTCCGCGGGGCTCCCTGCAGACCCAGGCCCGCCGCGTGTCCCAGCACAGTCCGAACAGGAGTCGCAGACAACAGGGCGAGGAGCCTCCACCACTGCCGCGGGATGCTCAGGGCAGGGCCTCGGCACTCCTGCCCACAGGCTGCCGCTGGGCACAGACCCAGAGGGAACCGAGGAGTCTGGGTGTGTATTAGAAAAACGATATGCCTCAGGTGCAAAAGGCTGGTTCCCAGGAGACGGGCTGTGAGTTTATAGAGGAAGGCCGGGGTCTCCGCTCCCTGCCCCCCACCCCCGAACCCCCAGAATCCAACAGCAATCATTTGGAACAGGACTTTTTTTTGTGTTTTTTTTTTTTAAGAAATAAAGAAAACAGTGACACCCTGCTACTCAGCGTGCGGAGCGGCTCACTGTACTGCTTCCGGTGCGTGCAGAGTAGCAGCGACAGTGGGCAGAGCCGTAAATGGTCACAACTTCAAAGAGGTGATTTCTTAAAAGAAAAAGAACATCTAAGGACAGAGCCCATGTGCACGTTTGAGCATTTCTACAGCATGCGAGTCTAAGAGTTAACCCACCCAATATGGCAAACAACCAAATTGTTTAAAACTTAGAAAGTTTGAGATCATTATTTTCAAAACATTGATTTTTACATTGTTTCATACACAAATAATTGACTGACTATCCAAGCACAGGACGGGCACCTCTCCTGAAAACAGAGGTTATGATGGCTGGGGCAGGGCACAGGGTAGTGTCAGGCTGTTGTTATCAACTTCCCCCCAGCTTCACACGGAACCCAAGGTGAGGTTAGAAACTGAACTGAGAAGGCCGAGAGGACAGGGCAGGAAGAAAGGTGCCTGACTGGACTCTGCTGGTCACCACACTCGGTTCTTTCTCTCTCTCTGTGCCATGTCTGTGCGCAACAAGTATATGACACTAGACAAAAATTAAAGAAACCAGGGACTAGATTTACATCATTAACAATTTCAGAGAGATTGCACTAGACCCTCTCTGTTTAACTACTAAACATAAAGATATTTCAAAAAGGAAATATGAATGTTTTCAAATCCTGTTACAAACACAACCTGGAATTAGAGCCGAGGCCAAGGTCAAGGCCTTGACCTGCTGTGCATGAGCAACACACAGGGTTGCGGACCTCGAGCTCCACTCTATTAGTGACCAGGTATGTCTGTCTCACAAGTACACTGAGCTTACTCTCTGGTTAACATTTTTATTATAGTATTTCCTTTTAACTTCATTCAAGACAGAAAGCAAACGAAGACAATGGTCCCGGGAGGAATGCACGACTCGCCGAGTTCACAGCAGACTCTTCTCGGTGGGATTGTGCTCTTGGTGTCAGCAGTAAGTGGAGGAAAAGGTCTTGCCCTTCTGGAGTTCGGGGGGGGGGGGGCGCCCACGTTAGTAGGGTGGATGGGAAATGCTATCACTGTGACGCGTCAGGGTGGAATGGTCTTCCAGTCACTGTGGCGTCCGCCTGCTGTTTGAAACAGAGTTCAAAGAAATGTAAAAAGAGACCCAGAGAATATTATGCTAAGTGAATAAGGCAGACAAATACCATACGATTTCACTCATCTATGGAATCTAATTAGCAAAATAAACAACCAAATAGAAACAGCTTTTCCCACCATCATGAGCCCTGTGGAGGCTGCTAGGAGCAGGATGCTGTAATGACCAATACATCTGGAAGGCTGTGGCCCAGGCCATTTTTGCCGGCTATATGTGGGGGTGTCCAGAACCAGAGAGAATACGCAACTCTTCATAACACTGAAGGTGTTCGTGCTTGCGATGAAACGGAATTCTCTCCGTGCAAGAGAGGGGCTTGTGTACAAAGCAAAGAACAACACAGTGACCCTCGTGGCAAACACAGCAGAACCAGCCACCTGGGGAAAGGAGCACCGGCTGTGGAGACAGTGGGTGCACCGTACTAAACTCCGGAGACCTTCTGACCAGGCCACCGCACAAGGAACTCGTGTAATGCTGTACCCTCAAGGATTTAAACGTATTGAAAAGTAAACAAATAAAATGGAAAAAAGCCCTGGCCAATTCTGCTCAGCAGTTAGAGCGTCGGCCTGCAGTCCAGAGAGACCCGAGTTCGGTTCCCACTAAGGGCATGTACCTCGGATGCAGTTTGTCCCTGCCCCTGGTTGGTCGTGCGGGAGGCAGCCACTCGATGTGTCCCTTTCACGTGGATGTTTCTCTCTCTCTCTTCCTCTCTCTCCCTCCTATCTGAACAAAAAACAAAAAATTTCCTTGGGTGAGGATAAAAAAAAAAAGAAGAAACAGATTCGCAGAGACAGAGAACACTGACAGCCATCAGGGTGGGGTGGGGGCCGGGGTGAAAAAGGTGAAGGGATTAAGCAAAGGAGAGAAAGAAAACAGAACAACTCACAGACACAGACAACAGCGTGGTGAGTACCAGAGGGAAAGGGGTGGGGAAGACAGAAGAGAGTATGGGGGCATAAATGGTGACTGAGGGGACTTGACTTTGGGTGGTGAACACGTAATACATAATACAGCTGATACATTATAGAGATGTACACCTGAAACCTACATAATTTTATTAACTACTATCACCACAATAAATAAAATAAAAAATTTAAAATATGTTTTACTGATTTGAGAGAGGAACGGACAGGAAGAGAGAAACATCGATGAAAGAGAACATCAATTGGCCACCTCCTGTACTAACCCTTACTGGGGATTGAGCCTGCAACCTGGGCATGTGCCCTGACTGGGAATCCGACCGGTGACTTCTTGGTGCAGGGTCGACGTTGGGCTGGGCAATAAATAAAAATTCTGTTAATGTAAAAAAGCCCTGGCTGGTTTGGTTCAGCAGTTAGAGCATCAGCCTTCGCACCAAAGAGTCACAGGCTCAACTCCAGCCATGGGAATGTACCTCGGTTGCAGTTCGTCCCCAGCCCTGGCCGGGGTCGTCAGGAGGCAACCAGTCATGAGCTCGATGTTAAGTCGATGTGTCCCTCTCACGTTGATGTTTCTCTCTCTCTCTCCCTCCTGCTCTGTCTGAAAATAAATAGAAAAATATCCTCGGGTGAGGATTAGAAATAAAAAATAAAAGAAACTGCGCCTCTAAATTTAGACCCATCGTCAGTTACAGTGCTGCCTGGGTGTGGGCCGAGGGCACACTCCTCAGCTTGAGGCAAAGGCTCATCTCACTGGAACTCCTCGTCAACCCACATCACAATTCACTCACCACCACGAACCCATCTCACCCGTGTGGGCCCTTGGCTGCTCCGTTACCTGTTGGTGTTAGTTCCAGATCTTGAGGAAGCTGTCCCAGGACCCTGTCGCCACAGCCATCCCGTCATCAGTCACCCCCAGGCAGCTGACGCGGTTGTCATGTCCGGCCAAGACACCTGGAAGCAAGTGAGAGCAGTCACTCCAGAGCCCAGAGGCATAACCCCCAGCAGTGCTGCCACCCTGTGCAAGGTAGGGTGACAGGTGCCCTTGCTTAGGCCGACCCAGAACCCCTCAGGTCGACCCTGCAATGCCTCAGGGGCTCAGAAGGAAAGAGTAGGGAGGGAAGGTTTGGTTTGGGTGGAAGTTCCCGAGACACAGGGCCTTTCTTATCCAAGGCGAGTGAGGGTCAATGCGCTCCTCTCCTAACAACTCGGGCGTACCTACAGCCGGGACTAGTGTCCAAACACCACCACACTGGAGAACCCAGTGCTGGCCTGTCAGACACAGCACAATGACAGAACAGCACACGCAGCAGATAACCCAGGACCTCTTGCACTAATTCCTGAGCACTTACCGGGATAAGCAGCTTAAATAAAACATCGAACAAAAATCACAAAACCCAAACTACCTGAACTTCAGGCCAGGTGACACGATCCTGTGAGGCTGTGGCCCTGGACACCAGCAAGGGCCACCTGGCAGTCTGAGTGCCCCCCCCCCACCCCCACCCTCATCCCCCGTACTCATCAATGCCGCAGCTGGGTAAAGAGGCCGGCTTCCCTGGTGGAGCAGTGCCCTTCCTGGCTCACCATCACAGGCAGCAGGAGGAGGTGGGGTGCAAGGGAGGGAGGGAAGGGTTCAAACAGGGCGGAAAGTAGGCCCTCCAGAAGCAGAAGCCAAGGTGAGGCCCGACAAGACCCGGGGCCACAGGCCCTTCTTCCACTCTCCCAGGCACCAGGACCAACACAGCCAGGTGACTCTGGAATCAGTCAGTTTAGTCTGACCGCCCAGTGGCCACAGCTAGGACAGGAAGCCCCATCTTCTGCACACCATGTTCCAAGGCACCTGACACCACACCTGGCCTTCGGTGTGCAAGCTTCAGGCTTCGCCTCATGGGTACACCTGCCTGGATCCGGGGTCCACACTCTAACGGCAGGGCTCCAACACCGGCCCGACCGACAGGAACCCAAACAGCTTGGCATGGGTCAAGGGCGTGGAGAAAGGCCCCGCCGTCACCCACCTGCCCTGTCGGCCTTGAGTGCGTCCCAGACGTTGCAGTTGAAGTCGTCGTACCCTGCGAGGAGGAGGCGCCCACTCTTAGAGAAGGAGACGGAGGTGATCCCGCATATGATGTTGTCGTGGGAGTAAGTCATGAGCTCCTGATCCGCACGAAGGTCAAAAAGCCTGCAGGTAGCGTCGTCCGAGCCAGTGGCAAATGCATTGCCATTTGGAAAGAACTGGAAAGAAAAAGCAAATCAAGACAATATGCAAAGGCACAAAAAATAAAGATGGGAAATACTGGCTGCCCAAGAGCAGGGCCATGGCTGGCACAGGACAAAAAGGCAGCAAGGATTGGACTCAGGCAGAACCTGGGGGCCATACCACAGGGACCCGGGGAGCAAACTGGGGACCGAACATGAGCACTCTGCCTTGGGTAAGCCACAGGAGTGCCCTCAGACACTGGGCTGTCCTCCACCAGAGCATGTTTTGTTTCATTCATCTTCCCAAGGGAACAGTAGAGTGTGGTCCACCAAGGCCTGTGTTTCTCCGCCAGCCGCCAAGTCAGGAAGCCCCAGGGAAGGCAGGGAAGGGGTGCCACAATCAACCAGACGCATCTGCACAGCTCCCCTCTGGGCCACGCCCCTCCAGTTCAGGTGATGTAGGAAGGGAAGCCCCGCCCCGCACAGGCTGCACGATGGATGAGTTATTGCACTGGCTGCCCCCACCCAGAGGGAAGCCCAACACCCCAGGACTGGGAGCTGGCCCAGTACATGACAGGCACCATCAGTGTTCAAGAGATGCGTAGACAGCACAGAATTAATTGGCTCCCTGGGACAAACCACACTATTTCTAGGTTTTCCACAGGAAGTTTTCTGTAGACTAGGTTGCACTTGCAGAGAAAATAGAGAACATCTCACCCTGAAAACATTTTAAATTAAATAATGTATTCCATGGTCAATAACTAATCTAAGCTGTGAACAGCTGGCACCGGACCCTGACCCACAGATCGACCCCTACTCACACAGATGGCGTTGATGTCGGACTCGTGGCCGGTGAAAGTCTGCCGACACATTCCTTCTCGCACGTCCCAGAGTTTGGCCGAAGCATCACAAGCACCAGACACAAACAGTCTGGTGTCGGGAGCAAGAGAAAGGCTCATCACGTCCCCGGTGTGTCCAGTGAATGTGGTTGTTTGCTGGCCCGTCTCAATGTCCCACAGGGCGCTGTAGCAAGAGAAGAAACAAGCAGAGAGAGTCACCTCACTTTTCCAGACAACCAGCAACAAAGCATCCTTCAACCCCCAGGACCACGGTCAACCTGTGAGCTTTACTAAAGACAAACAGGAATTCACAATACGGCTCTGGAAGGGGAACAAAGGAAACAAACACACCCGGACACAGGTCTGAGGAACTGAGCTCCATGTCTGCTCAGACATCAGCAAAGAGGAGGCCAGTGTCCCATCACAGCAGGGACACGCCGAGGCCTCACGACACATTCAGGCTCCAGGGGGATTCTCAAGGGGCTGTGGGATGGGGCAGATGATGTGCCCTGTCTGCTGCTACCAACTCCACGCCCTTAGGGGTCCTGCAGGCCAGGGTGGGGGCAACGCCAGGGAAACCAATGGCTTGGAGCAATGCCAAGGAGAGCAGGGCACAGTGCCAGCGGCTGCTGGCTCATGTGGCCACTTTAGGGGTCTCAAGGACGAGATGCTGAGAGCACCATGCACAAAGGACATGCTGTTCCTGAGCCTCAACCCACAGACGGCAAGAGCACAGAAAATGCACTCTTCACTTCAGCCTCACAACCTAGAGCTCGTTCCAGCGACACAAACCCAATCCGACTACTTCACTCTGGGCTGCGAGGGCCTCCTCACTTGGGCCTGAGGAGCTACAGAAAGGAAGCAAGCCATCTCCAGGAGTCCGAGAGAAAAGTGTTTGTGAATAAAAAGCTTAAATAAAAACCTCTTCTAGCCATGGCCGGTTTGGCTCAGCAGTTAGAGCGTCGGCCCAAGACCAATGAGACCCAGGTTCGATTCTGGCCAAGGGCACATACCTCAGTTGCGGTTCGTCCCTAACCCTGGTCGAGGTCGCGCGGGAGGCAACCAGCCGAAATCTCTCTCTTACGTCAATGTTTCTCTCTCTCTCTCTCCCTCCCTCCTAATCTGTCTAAAGATAAATGAAAACAATGTCCCTGAATGAGGACAAAAAACAAAAAACACCTCTCCAAATGAAGAAACCCGTCCCCAAAATGAAATGTCTAGATTATAAACCTTTTGTGAACCTATGACATTTATACAGAAAGGACACCCCTGCCCGGCTGGTGTGGCTCGGTGGTTGAGCATTGACCCATGAAATGAGAGGTCGCCGGTTCGATTCCTAGTCAGGGCACATGCCCAGGTTGTGGGCCAAATTCCCCGTGGGGGGCGTGCAGGAGGCAGCCAATCGATGTTCTCGCTCATCGACATTTCTATCTCTCTCTCTCAAATCAATGAAGAAAAAATATATATATATTTTTTTGTACAGACAGTGGGAGGGAGAGAGAGGAAGAGAGAGAAAGGGAAACATCGACGTGAAAGGGACACATCGAGTGGCTGCCACCCACACGACCAACCAGGGCCGGGGACAAACCGCAACCGAGGTACGTGCCCCTAGCGGGAACCGAACCCGGGTCTCTCCGGACCGCAGGCGGACGCTCTAACCGCTGAGCCAAACCGGCCAGGGCAAGAAAAAATATTTTTTTTAAAAAGTAAAAAATACAGCCCTGGCCGGTTTGGCTCAGCGGTTGGAGCGTCGGCCTGTGGTACTGAGAGACCCGGGTTCGGTTCCCGCTAAGGGCACGTACCTCGGTTGCAGTTTGTCCCTGGCCCTGGTTAGTCTTGCGGGTGGCAGCCACTCGATGTGTCCCTTCGAGTCGATGTTTCTCTCTCTCTCTCCCTCCCGCTCTGTCTGAACAAAAAATGGAAAAATGTCCTTGGGTGAGGATAAAAAAAAAAAAATACAAAGGACACCCTGTAAAACAGAGCAAGCTACTGAGGGAGTAGCACCCGCATGGGAGCCCACTACTGCCTCTGGGACTGGATGTCTGGGCCTCAAAGGCACAGGAAAACCCACAAGGACAGACGAAGTTTAACGTGACTCACAAAATAACTGATCATTCACAGGACACGGTTTGGAGCCACAGTGAACACATTCTGGAGTTTACTGAAGTGGGCCTCTATCTAAAGGAAGGCAAGGACTCACCACTCAGAAACCTGGAGCGACCCATTAGAAGCCGTGAGCCCTGCAGCCTGGGGTCATGCCGAGCACCCATACAGGCGGTGCTCTCTGGGGCTAAAGCACCTGCTGCCCACGGGCTGTGCACAGGAAAAGGACAGCGGGCGCAACATCCAGACAAGCTCCAGAGTCTGCAGGGCACAGAGCGCTCCTCTCACTGCCCCAGGCACCCTCGTCTCGCGGCCACTCCACTCCACTGACACCCTGATTCATGGCAACAACCTGGCCAGCGTGGTTCAGTGGTTAGAGCATCCGCGTGGCATCGAAGGGTCAATTCCTGGTCAAGGGTATGTGCACCTGAGTTGCAGGTTCGATTCCCCACCCTGGTCAGGGCACATGCTGGAGGCAACCAATCGATGTGTCTCGCATCAATTGCACCTCCCACCCCCATCAATGGAAAAATATCCTTGGGTAAGGCTGAATTAAAAAACAGCCCAGCCCTGGCCAGTTTGGCTCAGGGGTTAGAGCGTCGGCCTGCGGTCCAGAGAGATCTGGGTTCGGTTCCCGCTAAGGGCATGTACCTCGGTTGCAGCTTGTCCCCGGCCCTGGTTGGGTTGTGCGGGTGGCAACCACTTGATGTGTCCCTTTCATGTCGATGTTTCTCTTTCTCTCTCTCTCGCTCTCTGAACAAAAAATGGAAAAATGTCCTCGGGTGAGGATAAACAAAACAAAAAAACAGCCCAGCCCTGACCGGTTTGGCTCAGCAGTTAGATATTTGGCCTGCGGACCAAAGGGTTGTGGGTTCGATTCCGGTCAAGGGCACATACCTGGGTTGTGGTTCGGTCCCCAGCCCTGGTCAGGGTCATGCAGGAGGCAACAGGCAGGATGTTTCTCTCTCTCTCCCTCTCACTCCCACTCTATCTGAAAATAAATGCAAAAGTGTCCTCGGGTGAGGATTAACACAAACAAACAAAACAGAACACGCTCATTTCCCCGGGCCTAGAGCTGCGGGCAGGTGTGCCCGCAGTGTGGGAAGGGCGGGAACTCAGGCACTCACCAGGTGGTGTCCCCAGAGCTGGTCACGATCTGATTGTCATCCAGGAAGCGGCAGCAGGACAGGTAACCTGGAAAACAGACCCAGACAATGACCAGAATCTGCAGCCCCACTATTTTCCAGCCTTGTAAGCTGAAACCGGAAGGCAGCAGGGTACACCCAGCCTGCCGCCCTGCCTGGCCCCTGTGCAGCAAGCAGAGCACTAGCAGCACTGCTGGCCAGGGTCTGGGCAGGGCCAGACCAGCCAGGAAGGAGCCTCAGGACCAAGGAGGCCGCGGCACTGTGCCCCACAGGGCACTGGGGCAACACAGATGGGGCACATGCTCTCCTCTGAGGCCTATACCTATATTGATCCCCACCCAACTCCTTAGTCACCAGTTCACCCATGCAGAGCACAGGAGCCCCCAGGGCCAGAGTGCAACCCCTGGGACATGTCCATGGAAGAAGGCTGGTCTTTATCCTGTGGGGCCCCACTCTTGTGGGGAGAGGGTGGAAGGCCAGAGCACGTGAGAGGCATGCAAGTGAAGGAAGGCACAGCCCAGCAGGACCAAGGTGCCAGGCGGGCAGCGGGTCTGTTTTCCATGGATGGCAGCTGCAGTAGACAAGTCGGTGTGGAAATGGTGGCGTCACCTGAGTGTGTGGGAGGGTGCTGAGACTGGGACAAGCGGCACTTGCTGCGACACCCCACCCTGACCAGCTTTTGGAACCAGGAAAGGCAAAGAAGATCCATTTTGCATTATGGTTTCTACCCAATTAGCTCCGTTGACTAGAATCTGTTTTTGTTCTCCTATAAGTAATCCTGAGAACCAGGGGTGTGGGGTGAGCAAGCCCAGCCCCAGCGGCTTGTGCCCATGGCTGCCTTGTCCCAGCAGCAGGAATGGGCGCTGCAGGCCCTATAGGGAAGGGCATCCATCCTACCCCTGCCAGCAGTGAGCCAGTGAAATAAACAAAACACACCCAAAGAAACCACTGAAGGGTTTTGATGTAAAAAGTGTAAGAACATAGAGAAAGCAAGGCATCTATTGAACAAACGTTACTAAACTGGCTCCCACAGAAAAAGTGTTTGGAGACCACTTGAAAACACGAGCTATATGCCTGGAGGCCACGTCACGTCCACAGCAACACTGGGGCCACATGGTGAACCGAGGTCTGGCCGAACAGGAGCAGGGCTCAATGACAAGCCCCACCTGCTCCTCACACCCATGCGCCGTCAGCAGGGCTCACCTCCAAGGACAGCATCACTTCCTGCACGGGCATGCCTGGGAGCCCACCCTGTTCTGTCAGGACCCTCACCCCCCAACATCAGCACCTGGCCATCTGCCCTGTGAGCACAGGACAGGCTGCCGAGATCCCCTGTCCCTACTCGGCAGAGCCCTCGGCCAGAGACAATGCTACAAGCACGGCCTGAGCACTGCGAGACGGACTCCTCAGGGCCTTGGTCGTCAGCAGGTGCTGCTGCTGCTAGGGACTGGGGAGGCAGGGGAACGGTGGTCCCAGAACAATAGCTGGGACGTGGAAATCACAAGTGCTGGGGCTCCCAGCCACGTGAGCGGGAAGACGCGTCCCTGCAAGCAAGACCCGATACCACCCTAGAGAGCAGGGGGCGGGACGGGTGAGGCCTTCAGCATTCAGTTCCTAACTTTCGTAGTTAGAGCTTTCGAAATATAGACACAAGTACATTACACCCCCCTTTTTTTCAAATCCTCACCTGAGGATATTTTTACATTAATCTTCAGATAGAGCTGGAGGGAGAGGAGGAGGAGGAGGGGGAAGAGGAGAGAGAGAAAGAAACATCGATGTGAGAGAGACACATCGATTTGCTGCCACCTGCACAACCCCAACCGGGGCTGGGAACAAACCACAACTGAGGTAGGTGCCCTTGGCTGGAATCGAACCCAGAACTCTTTGGTCCATGGGCGACGCTCTTACCACCGAGCCATACCAACCAGGGCCAAATACATTACTTTTCATCAAATGGGGTCAAGGTTGCTGGCTCAAATCTTATAACACTTGTTGTGTCTTTTTTATATTTTGTATATTGAAGGGAAAAAGCAATAACCAGGTAGATATATTTTTTACAAAATGTTTTTGTCTCCTGGAAAGGGAAAGTGGAAATCGACGTTTAATCAGGGCCAGCAGAGCAGTGCTGAGGCTGAACAGCTGGCAGGAGCCCAGCAGCGATGAACTCTGGGGCAGCAGGCAGTCCCACAGGCTTTGGATCCAGAACTATGGGCCCAGCCCCGGCCGGTTTGGCTCAGCAGTTAGAGCGTCGGCCTGCGATCCAGAGAGACCCAGGTTCGGTTCCCGCTAAGGGCATGTACCTCAGTTGCAGTTTGTCCCCGGCCCTGGTTGGGTCGTACGGGTGGCAGCCACTCGATGTGTCTCTTTCACATTGATGTTCCTCTCTCTCTCTCTTTTCTTCTCCCTCACTCCCACTCTATCTGAACAAAATATGGAAAAATGTCCTCGGGTGAGGATAAAAATAAAACTATGGGCCCAGTTCTCCGCGTGGAGACTAACCAGCAGTAGCATTCCTGTGAGTCCTCTGAGGAATCCAAGTCAGCCACGTCCACAAGAGATAGTTCCACAGAACTGCTGAAGGAATAGAGCTGATCGCGTGCCCACGACGTTCTCAATAAATGGTGTGTGTGTGTGTGTGCGCGCGATTTTACCTGAGGTGGGGACAGCCCTCCTCTCCAGGTGCAAAGTCTGTGTTACCCAGTGGTTGGCCCAGAGGAGCTGCTGCCTTTCAGAGCCTGACAGGAGCAGGGAACAGACCCTGACCACAGTCTGGAGGGACAAAGTCAGGAATGTGTCGCTGCGTGCCCTGCAGACCCACAAGCGGCAGGCAGGGTGCACGGGGGAGAGCCCAGTGCAGGGATGAGAATGTGACTATCCCGAGAGAGAGGAGATGGCTTGAGGTGAGACAGGGCAGAGAGTAGACAAGTCCTCCTTTACGTGGAGGGGCCGCAGACTCAGAGCGCAAGGCCCAGAGGACCCCCGTGCAGCCTGGAGACCAGTCAGCAAAGCTGATAACGTATCCCAAGACAGTGGTTACGACTGGAGAAACCACCTTCAGCTACAGGAGTAACGTGCACACCAGTTACTAACCAGAAACTGCCTAGATGCCCACAAGAGAGACAGACTAGCATCTACCCCGTGGAACTCTCTCCGACGCCAGAAATAACGTAATTCAGTTACTTCCTTCAGTCTCACGGCGCACACCCTGCATCTCAGGTAAAACAAAAGCCACCATCTGCCACAGCTCCCACTGCAGAGCGGGAGGAGGCTCAGCCAGACCTGGGGAAAGGCCGCCGCCCTGCACTGTGGTGTGCACAGGAGCTGGAGGGCAGAGACACAGCAAGAGCACACACTCGACAAGTTTGGTGAAGAGGACAAGAGGTCAGCTGAAGATCTTAAGTGAGGAAATGCCAGAGAACAGTTTCGATAGGAGGGAGGAGACCTACAACATCCAAAGAGGAACTTGGAATTGTTATGCCAGAAGCAGGAATCCCATGGGCAGAGCAGCAGACTCAACACCTCACATACACTCACAAGGCTGTGTGGCCTCACCCTCTCCAGTCGCAGGGCTCAGCGGACCTTGCCATTGTCTGCCAGGAGGGTCTGAGATCCCAAGCTGAACAATCAGAATCCAGGCAGCTGGTTGGGACAAGTCTGAAACCCACTGTGGCCAAGAGCCAAGGTTCATAACAACCCTAGGGAAAGGGGTTCTTTCCCCGCTGGGACTGCTCAGCGGGCAAGATGGAGAGGAGGTGCAGGAGCCAGCTGGGGAAGCCGAAGGCAAGCCTGCACAATGTCGGCGCGGGCCCTGTGCCCAGCCAGGTGCAGGCAGCCCGTGAGATTCGAGGGTGAGCAGTGAGAATCAGTTTCCCAGACTGTGACCATAAAAAGCCCAAGTGAGATGTCACAATTAACCAACTGCCAAAGAGCAGCCCTGGAGCAAAATTACGGGAGATGACTTCCTTCTCATACCCCTGTCAAAAGTAACTGATGGGCACTGGGTCCGACCCAATGTGCTTCACACGGATATAAAAGATTCAGCTTCTGGCCCTGGCCGGTTTGGCTCAGCGGTTAGAGTGTCGGCCCACAAACCAGAGAGTCCCTCGTTCAGTTTCCGCGAAGGGCATGTATCTTGGTTGCAGTCTGTCCCCGGCCCCAGGTGGGGTCGTGTGGGTTGCAACCACTCGATGTGTCTCTCTTATATCGATGTTTCTCTCTTGCGTTCTACCTCTCTCCCTCCTGCTTTATCTGAAGATAAATGCAAAAATGTCCTCTGGTGAGGATTAAAAAAAAAAAGATTCAGCTTCTTCCCTGGCCAGTGTGGCTCTGTAGTTAAGAGCATCGGCACACGGACTGAAGGGTCAAGGGCATGTACCTGGGTTGCAGGTTAGAACGCCAACCCCAACCAGGGTCATACGGGAGGCAACCAATTGATGTGTTTCTCTCACATCGATGTTTCTCTTTCTTTCTCCCTCCCTCCCCCCTTTTACTCTATCTAAAAATCAGTGAAAAAATATCCTTAAGTGATAATTAACAAAACAACCAGTGTCGGCCTCTCACTGTAAGAACAAACGGCCCTACAGAATGAGGCTGGAGCCACCTCGGCACTTCAGCAGGAAGGAGAGGCTGTCACGGGAACTAACCCTCTCTCTGGGCGGCCCCGGATCAGGCTGCTCATGCACTGGGCCGTGCTGAGCAGGGACCTGAGAACAGGCCTGTGTGTCTCCAATACCATGGGAGGGTTGGGAAGGAGCATCTCTGAGAACAAGGCTCAGGTCTCTTCATTAACCCACAGGGATCTGCTCTGAAAATAATCTGTGACGATGGGCCTGACACTCATCGGAAATGAGTTTTTAGGGAATTAACTAATTTCTCAAATGTCATCTAATGCCTTTGAATTACTTTTTCCACCAAAACAGATTCAGACTATGTTTTCAAATGTAATAATAATAAATATCCCACCAATCATTGCGAGTTTATTCCAGTAGCCATCTCCAGAGGGGACCCTTGACTCTGTAGTCACACTTGAGATGCAAAACACACCACAGA